TAGCGGACACGACGCTTACCGATCCACAGACAGGGCAGGAACAGGTCAACGAAGAATACAATAATGGCAACGACAGGCACATTCCACCGGAACCCATGATACCCATTCCAAACTTTCCAGTCCAAGTTGCGCCGCTCCCTGTTGTTTCCGGCGCCGCTCCGGTCTCGGGACCCATTTCGGTCGTTCCACAGCCTATGCCGCCTCATCCAGCCGCACCGGTCGACACGCCTTACTATACAAATGCCACCAGCTTTGTTCCGCAACAGCAGCAGCAAGCCCAACAACAATCCCAGCAACAACCTCCACCAGCGCCCCGCATCAATGATGTTATAGGCACGCCGAACTTCTTCTTCTTACAAGAATCCGAGCTCGATTCACCGGATGTCACGTCGCAAACACCCATCGTATCGCACATTCCTCCCACAGTCAACGCGCCCATTCCTACACAGACCTTTACGAATCAAAACTTCGCAAACACACCCGTAGGCGTTCCTCAACAAGTCATATACCAGCACCAACCACCGCAGGATATGTCGCACATTCCTGGATTCGCGAATCCTAATCCACCGCCACCAATCCCGATGCCGCCTTCGCATCAGCAGCCGAACTTGCAATATAGTCCGCAACATCCGACCGGTTTTCAGCCTCAACAATCACAGCAGCAACAAAATGTGGTACAACAACTGCCACAAGGACAGACCCAAAATTTTAATGAACAAAGATCACCACATCAACAAGAGACTCAAACGTCCACAGAGGTAAGTCCAATTCTTCTCTGGGCATAAAATTGATAAAAAAAAATGATTGATATTGTTATCGACTTTCGATGATTCGTAAACTTTGTATAGGAAAAAATCGAGAATGGCCAAAATGAAACTACTACTACGGACTCATCGTTGGAACAACAGACTGAATCTGTTGATTGGTGTCAGATGACCGAGACCAATGATTGGAGTCAGTCCGATCAACAACAGCAATCTATTCAAGATCCCCAGCAAGTATCGCCACAACAGACATCGCAGCAGACTTGGGGTGATCAACAACGTGGATACAGAGGAAGGGGAAATAGAAGGGGGACCACTAACGGCTATAATAGCAGAGGCAGGAATAATTATCAACAAAATGGACGCGGAGGACAAGGTAAGAGAATAATAAAATATTTATATTTATATTACATAAGATCTTTCTGAAAAAGATTTTTATAATTTCTTTGGATAAATCTCTCTCTTGATATGAAAAGTCGAGATATGGGATAAATTTTATCCATTTCTTTTTCTAGGCACGTATTACCGCAACGATAGCAATTACCAGAACGGATATCAGCAACGTTCTTGGGGTAACAACGACGGAAATAATGGATATTCCACCGGCTTTAAGCGTGGTGGTGGTGGAGGAGCGAGGGGTGCGCGCAATGAGCGCGTTGGTCGTGGACAATATCGAGGACAGAATAGGACCAACCGTGGCGGGTATACACCACGCGGCAAACCTCATCCCGCGCAATAAGCGAGAGAGGAAAACGCTAGCGTAAATACGCAGTGAAACGCACTATAAAAATGATTCTGCGATTACAATTCAACTGTCTATTTACGAAAAAGCTTAAGTCGATGATGCATTTGCAATATGAAGTGAGATTTCAAAGTAGTAGGTATCGCGTGCATGAGTATTAATATGCAAACGTTGATATCGATAAAGATCGATTAAGTGACTGATGTAGTTTCTGTAATGCAATAGCAACTGTATTACATATTTTTTTTTAATCTATTTGCACATATATTAAGTATCTTTGATAAGATAAAACTGATTAGAGTTGTACACAAAAAATATAGTTTTGCATTTAATGTAATAATTTCTTATAAAGTTATGTACAATATGTATTGTACATAACAATGATAACGAAAAAGAAATTTGAAGAATCTTATGTTGGCATTTGCGGAGACTTGCGGCTTAGGATATTTCTTAAATATGACGTTGAAAAAGTAAAACTTTGCATTTGAATTTGGTGTCTGTAATTATGAAGAGAAGATTAATGTTAATAAAAAAAAGACGATACAGAGGTAACACATTGTGATATATAAAAAAAATCAACCAAATTCAGAAGCGTGAACCTACCGTGCAAGTATTATTGTATTATGTGACAGAAGGCAGGTTTCACAGGGCAACAACAGCAGATTAACGAAAAAAGAAAAAAAATTATTAAAAAAAAGAAAAAAAAAGAAAAGAACTCTCAAATATTTCATGTAAAGACTACAGGAACGTATTTAAAAAATAACGTTAAGATGATTATAAGTATATATATATATAGTAGGCGATCTGCACGACCATCTCTTCGTCTTGCGGCGCATCGCTTCCAGAGAGAATTTTTTAAGATACCAGAAAAAAAGAGGACATAGCGAGCAATGCCTTCTCTAAACTGCTAAAAATATTTTTTCGATTTCGTACTTCGTATCTGGCATACGAACTTGAAAAATAAAACAATTAAAAATTTTGTATCGAGATGGTAATTTGAGAAAGTTGTAATGAGTCATGATATATAAAGATCTGGAAAGGACGACATTTTTTCATATAGAGATACATATACATCGTGACACTATACACATTTCGGATTGCTATCGCTCCCTTCCTTCTGTTTTTTTCTGCGTAATTCCAAAATTCCTCGTATAATGCCTTACACCGCCAAGCGAAAGAGATTGCGGTGCGATGTCCTCATTTACAATATAATGCATTATCTAATTTTTTTTGTATTAAAAAAAGAAAAAAAAACGTATAATTATTTTTAAAACGGAGGAAGCGATTAAAGAGAGGAAGAGAGAGAGAAAGAGCGTGCGGAGCTCTTAGCGTATAAGTCGAGTTCAGTGTACAATTATTGCCTAGATTCAAAGAAAGAAAGATGTGTTAAAAGTGCACTGCCGATAAGTCACGCTCCACACCGATGAAAAATATCATATTTTGTTTGTACATTTGTGTTTAATCACCTTCCTATCCTTCCCCGTCACTATTACGTTAAACTATCCTACGAATGCCTATGTATCTTCCAAATAAAGATCTAATTCAACCCTGTTTAACTGAGCTTTATTCTCGGTGATTTGATTTTGATTCTTTATATATATAAATTTAATCGAGTATTTCTTCAACGATCTTATATAATCATTAATATTTTATTAAGTGTTGCTCAATATTATTTATTGTATAAGATTAATGTACATACATCGAGTGTGATGCTTCTTTAATTAATAATATATCATTGCTTGAAAGAGAGAGAGCGCGCTGTTTCAAATATAATCTCATTTACATATTAAAATTTACACGAACTGTCAATGACATACACATACACATATAGATTCCGCATTAACCGATTTCGGGATTACTCGAGCTGTATGGTAGAATCTTTATTTTTTTAAATTTTAGATCAACTTCCCGGTTGTTTATTTCTCTTCCCATCCCCTTGGAATCAGCGTGCTTCCGGATCACGTGACATGTGACATTTGAAGAGAGATAGTCTTACACACACCATTCTTTATTAGAGTTATCCATCTCTTTCTCTAACGCACTTCATAGCTTTTAATTAGATAAGAGATAGCGAAGTATTAACTTGCGAAAGAAATTCAACGCGCGCGAAATATGACAAACAAGGACAACATAGATCCTCCTAACTTAACCTGATTATCATTATTTTTTGTTCACTCCTGAATTACTGAATCACCCTAAATATTTATGTAAATATTGAAAAATAGGATGTCTCTCATTGCCTTTTCCTCTTTTAGTGTAGATCAATCAGAAAGTTTATCTTTTTTGTCAGATATAAGAAGTTTATTTTATCTCTTTTACTTGCAACGATAATTAAATGCCTCCAATATGATCTTTAATGAATGTTTATCTTGTATCAAAATTGCTGTCATTGTTATGAAACTATAAATTGTTATACAATTAAAATAATTGTTTTTAAATAGTCGCAACAGTGCAATTTGTAAGTTAAACTTTTAGTTTTGTTACACTGATTTAATTTAGCTTATATATCTTCTCAAAAATATTATCTAATCAACACAGTTACTGTATCAAGATATAAGATGTTACTACAGAGGCTTTATCGTATTACAAACTATAGAATTTTACAAAGAATTCTATATAAAAATATTTATTCAGCACATCAGGTATGAAACAAAATTCTAACAGAATATCTAACATATCCCATTATTAACATCAAAAAATCATTTTTTCAGAAGGAAGATGTTATACAAACTATCAGGAAGCTATGGATGATGTCGCCATTCATTGCAATGGGAATGTGGGGATTCATAAAGAACAAAGATGTAGCTGAAACACAAATTACAACAAAAGAGGTTCTTCTCGCCAAAGTGGATGCACTCTTTGATCAAGGAGATTATAAAAGTATATACAATCTTTTGTCAAAATATAAGGTAATTAAATTCTGTAAATTATCTTTATAAAGTATAATTACAATTATTATACATTTATTTGTTTTATATAGGATAGTAAGGATATTGACATCTTGTGGCGTTTATGCAGAGCCATTTATAAAATGTCTGAAATGGCCAGCGATGTTGAAGCACGGAAGTTGATTTATGAAGGATATGATTTGATATGTAAAGCTCTCGATATTCAAGAAGATCACTATGCTGTTCATAAATGGATGTCTATATTCCTTAATAGTAAAGGCACTTTAGAAGGCACAAAAGCACATATTAAAGAATTGTATAACATTAAAAAACATTTGCTGGTAGGCTATTTGACAAATTATTTAAGCATGTATAAAACACAAATATTGGTTTATCAGTAAAAAATAATAAAATATTGAATTTTATAAAACAAGATATAGAAAATGTAATTTGGAAATTAGTTGACATTATTATGTTATTCACATTGTAGAGAGCATCAGAATTAAAACCTACTGATGCAACGTCACTTTACATGCTTGGATGCTGGTGTTATGAGATTTCAAGTTTGGCATGGTATCAACGAAAGATAGTATCTGTTATATTTGAAGATCCGCCAACTTCGTCCTTTGAAGAAGCATTGATGTATCATGAGAATGCCG